CTCCCCCCCTCGACTGCGCCACCGTGCACGCCTTGCGTCGAGGGCCGGCTCCGCCGTCCTCCTCACTCCTCCTCGCTTTGCCCTGCTACTGCTCCCCTGCAGACCCTGCACCTGGACATTTGGGGCCCAGCCCCCGTCCCCGGACCGCGTAGTGACCGCTACTTTCTTATGCTCGTCGACGACTACACGCGCTACACCACGGTGTTTCCCCTGGAGCAGAAGGCCGACGTGCCCGACGTTCTTCTACCGTGGGTTGTGGCTGCTCGTCTTCACCGCGGTCTCCCCGTGTTGTGTCTCCACTCTGACCGTGGTGGCGAGTTCGCCTCTGGTCGGCTTGGACAGTTCTGTCGTGCGGAGGGCATCACCCAGTTGTACACCTTGCCGGACTCGCCCCAGCAGAATGGGGTTGCTGAGCACCGCATCGCCTTGGTCATGGAGGTGGCTCGTACCTCCATGATTCATGGCGATGCCCCCCATTTTCTGTGGCCGTTCGCTGTTCGCTACGCTGCTCACCAGCTTAACTTGTGGCCACGCTCCCAGCTGCCGCAGGTTTCGCCGACCCTCCTTTGGACCGGGTCCCCCGGTGACGCGTCTACGTTCCACGTCTGGGGTTGCCTTGCTCACGTTCATGCCTCTGGCACAGACAAGCTCATTGCCTGCACTGTCCTATGTGTCTTCCTCGGTTTCCCCCTGGACTCGTCTGACTGGCTCTTCTACCACCCGCCGTCTCACCGCTTCCTTCACTCTCGTGACATCACATTTGACGAGTCTGTCTCCTTCTACCGTCGCTTCCCTCACCGAGGTCTCTCAGTTCCCCCCCCATAATCCTTGCTCCCTCTCCCCCGGTAGCCCCTGCTCCCCTCCCGCCTCGTCCTGCCCCGTCTGGTGTCTCTCATGTCACTCCCCTCCCATCAGTTGTCCCCGTTGAGAAGTCTGCTGACTTTGGTGGTCCCCCCGGCCCGTCCTTGCCGCGTCCCCCTTCCCCGGTGTCTCCGCTTCCGCTTTCGCTATCGCCGCTGCCGCCGCCACCGTCACAGCCGCCGTCGCCGTCACAGCCGCCACCGCCGCTGCCGCCGCCGCCGCTGCTGCCGCTCTTGGCCTCTCGGGGTGCTGGCGTTGAGGAGGGTGTTCGTCCTGCGGCTCCTGGCGTGGTCTGTCCTGGCGGGCCTGGGGGTGCCGCTGGTGCTGGAGGGAGTTCTCGCTCTGGGGGTGTTGGTTCTGGGGGTGCTGCCGTTGAGTGTTCTCCCGGCGGTCGTCGTGCCTCTACCGGTCCGAGGGTCGAGCAGAAGCCGCCGCAGCAACCGCCACAGCCGTCGCCGCCGGTCTCTTCTCTTCGCCTACTCGGCCTTCCCTCCCTGGCCGCTTGCCGGTGTCTCCCCCGCCACCTCCTCCCCTTCCTGTCTACGGCCTTGTGTTCCCGCCGCCGGACTCGTCTCTGGCCCGTCTTCCTCCTCGTTCCCCTCTTGTGTCCCCTCCGCTGTCTCCTGACCCTACACCTCGGTCCCACGTTTGGTCTCGCCGTCCCTCTCATTCTCGTCCCATCTCTCCTGTCCTGCGCTCCCACCCTATGTTGCTCCGTTCCCACTCGTCTCGTCCTCCCCTCCTCCCGTCGCCTCCTCCCTCGTCGCTTGTTGTTGCACCTCCCCCGCTGTCTTACTACCTCCGTGCCGCTCGTCCCCTTGTCCCTCAGGTTCTTGCCCCTCTTGTTACAGACGCGTCTGTTCCTGTCTCGCGCCTTGACGTGCTTGTCGCTGCTGTCGCTGACTTCGCCTCTACCCGCCGCCTTGACTATGCTACCGCTCTGGTCTCTGACCCTACCCGTCCTCCGTCCGTCGGGGGTGCACCTGCCCTTTCCAGTGACGTTCTAGAGGAGCGGCAGTATGAGCTTGCTTTCCATTCCGAGGCCGCTCCCCATCTCTGCTCCATGGTCCTAGTCCCAGAGGGTGACCCCGACGCCTTCGACATCCCAACCCCTCGCACCTATGTTGAGGCCACCTCGCGACCCTGGGCCTCTCAGTGGATAGCTGCCATGGAGCAGGAGATGGCATCTTGGACATCCACTGGCGCTTACGTCGACGCTGTTCCCCCTCCTGGGGTGAACGTAGTCGATGGTCGGTGGCTCCTCAAGGTGAAGCGCCCCCCTGGAGAGCCGCCTGTCTTCAAGGCGCGCTACGTGGCTAGAGGCTTCAGCCAGCGCGAGGGGGTGGACTTCTTCCAGACCTTCGCCCCGATCCCGAAGATGACTACTCTTCGGGCGCTGCTACACATAGCAGCATAGCGCGACTACGAGCTTCACTCCCTCGACTTCTCTACTGCCTTTCTTCAGGGCAGCCTGCACGAGCAGGTCTACCTGCGCCGACCACAGGGCTTCACTGGAACCTTCCCCCCTGGGACCTAGTGGCTTCTTGGGCGCCCGGTCTACGGCCTGCGCCAGGCTCCCCGCGAGTGGCACGACATGCTGCGTGCCACGCTAGCTGACCTGCAGTTCTTTCCGTCCTCTGCTGACCCCTCACTTTTTGTGCGTTCCGGCCAGCCTCCGTTCTACATCCTTGTCTACGTCGACGACCTGGTTTTCGCTACTGCTGACAGGGACGCACTGGCCTCCGTGAAGGCCGGGTTGCTGAATAGACACACCCGCACTGACCTTGGAGAGCTGCTTTGTTACCTTGGCCTGCAGATCTCCAGGGACAGAGCAGCACGCACCATCACTCTCACCCAGTCACATTTGGTGCGTCAGGTCCTTCAGAGGTTCGGTCTTCAGTTCTCCTCCGCACAGCCCACACCTCTACCTGTAGACCATGGGCTCTCCGCTCCCGTTCCTGAGGAGCCAGTAGAGCCCAGCGGCCCCTACGTAGAGCTGGTGGGTTGCCTCATGTACCTGATGACTTGCACTCGCCCAGATCTCGCATACCCTCTCAGCATCCTGGCTCGCTTTGTGGCCACAGGCAGACACCGACCACAGCACTGGTCGGCCGCTAAGAGGGTTTTGCGATATCTAGCAAGTACATCGGGCATGGGGTTAGTGCTTGGAGGACGCAGGCCAGTGGTCCTCACTGGGCACACAGACGCTTCTTGGGCAGACGACTGTAAGACTCTCAGGTCGTCTCAGGGCTACTGTTTTAGCCTTGGTTCGGGTGCTATCTCTTGGAGATCCACTCGCTCGTCGTCTGTTGCTCAGTCCAGCTGTGAGGCTGAGATCTACGCCGGTGCCATGGCGGCACAGGAGCTCCGCTGGCTGACCTTATTGCTCACAGACTTTGGTGAGCGGCCTAGTTCTGCCCCGGTCCTGTACGCTGACAACAGGGCCATGTTCCTCCTGTGTCAGGAGCCTCGGCTTGAGGGCAGAGCGAAGCATATCCAGCTACGGTACTTCCTCCTGCGCGAGCTACAGCAACGTCGCCAGGCCCGCGTGGTTCACTTGGCCTCCGGTGCCAACACAGCTGATATCTTTACTAAGGCGCTTGCGCCTAAAGATCATCAGCGGCACTGTGTACAGCTTGGTCTTGTTCCTGTAGCTTCTCACTTGTTAGGACCCTGATTGTGTTCTCTCTACTATATATACCTGTCTGACTGGCCTTGTGGCCTTACCTCCAGTGGCTGGACTAGTAGTGCCGCCCTGGCTTGCTTTAGTCTTGTTTGTACTCTTGCTGACTGGTCTCTGGACCCCTGCCTCAGTGGTTGGACTAGTAGTGCCACCCTGAGCTGTGTGCTTCTTGCTTAGCACCACCCCTTCTCTAGCCTAGGGGGTGTGTCAACTTATACATATGTTGTATATAGAAGTTATAGGCTAGCCTAGGTGTGTGCTTCTAGTGAGTATAACCCCATGAGGTATATGTTCAAGGTTTCTCACACTAGTCAATCATTCTTGCATTCTAACAACTTCATCCCGACACACACGACTACACGCACCGAGGAGACGGTACAACTGTGTGTTTACTACATGATCTTGCAGCATGACATTCCAACCACACTCATCTCCGACCGAGACCCTAGGTTCACTAGCAAGTTATGGAAGGAACTGATGTCTCTGCTCGAGACCAAACTCGCCATATCATCACCATATCACCCACAAACAGACGGCCAAACAGAACGCCTCAACCAAGTTGTGGAGTAGCTCCTGCGTGCAGCCTGCAAAGACGATACCCCCAAATGGGACTTGTACCTGCCGGTTCTGGGGTTTGCTTATAACAATGCCAAGCATGTCGCTACACAACAGACGTTGTATTTCCTCTCTTACGGACGCAAGGGATGGCCAAGGTTTGCTGAGAAAGAAAGGCAGCAACCTGTGGTGATCCGTGGGTGCTGCCCTGAGGCGCACACAGGTGCTGTCCTATGGTGCATTGGGGGGCTGCTTGAGAGAGGGTGAGAGCTGACAGAACTCAGTCACTAACCAGTGAGTTTAAAAGGCTTGTTGAGTAGCAGGTAAGTGCACTCATAACCCCCCTGGCTCTGCACCTGTAACCCTTCTCCGAGGATCTCAAGGGTAACCCCAACATGTCTCTTGACACCCCCCTCGCTGGGATAGGCGGAAGACACAAGCGCCTCTGCACCGCTGGCACTTAAAGCAGTGCCCACTCGGAATTGAACACAAGACCTTTTGACTCTCACACCATGTCAAAACTCAGTCACTAACCACCGAGTTTAAGGGCTTGTTAGGTAGCGGGTAAGTGCGCCCATAACCCCCAAAGGTCTGCACCTGTAGTAACCCTTCTCCGAGGATCTCAAGGGCAACCCCAGCATGTCTCTTGACAAGAGCATGATAGGCTGGTGCAGGAGGGGGAGGGGAGAGGGGGGGGGGAGGGCAACAGGGAGCATGTGGGAGCATTTTGGTCGGAGGTTACTGGCCAGAGGTGCGAGAGAGTCAGATTTGTGAGTCATCTCAGGAATCTCCTGCTAGTAATCGGCTGGGACGGGGTGGAGAGAGACACAGTGCTGTCCTGAGGTGCATGTGCCTTCAAGCAGCAGTGGACTCAGGTCTAACACAGGAGGACCTTCACTTGCAAACCTGCCTATTTTCCTTAGCAGTACAGTACACCATGTGCATGCCTTTCTGTCTGTCATCTAAATTCAGCATTGGAAGAATAGAGAGCTCCCCTACACGGAGCTTTTAACTGGCATAGCGCCCTTGGGACCTTCAACAAACCCAGCAGCATGTGCCACTCTGATCTACACCCATTAGTTGTCAGTAAGTAGCTGGCCTAACTCTCCGTCCAGTCATTCCTCTGTCCGCCGTGCATCTGCCCTTGCAGCGCCACAAAAAATGGCTCCTACAGGAGCATATATACCACCCCTAGAAAAAGCCAGTCAAGCCCACTAGAGGTTCCCCCGCTGGGGTGCAGCCAGTCCCCAGCTCCCTTCCCCTCCATCCCCCAACCGTTGGAACTACTGTCCTGTTTGACAGCATCTCCCTTCCCCCATCTCCCCCATCTCTGATTTAAGTTCGTCCTGCTGCTGCCTCCTTTAGCTTCCTCGCCGTTCCCATCTCTCATTGGGTAACCTGAACTGCTTTTACGACCCCTCTACCCCTGCCGCCTCTTCTGCTTCTTCTCCAATCCCTCCTCGTGCACCTCTGGGACCCTTTCGCCACCTCGTTCCTATAACGAGTCTCCTCATTTGTGGCAATAATGAGAAGTCCTGCATTTGTCGAAAGTGTACCCAAATAGAGTGCACATGGCTTCAGATTGGTTGAAGCACTCGCGATATCAGGTGCACGGTTAGCGAGAGCCCTCGGTAGTAGTCTCTCTCGATAATCACGGCAGGAGGACCGTGAGCACCCCGCACCCACACCAGCGGCCACTTGTTGCTGTTCGTCTTCGTTATAGTCAGTCCGTTAATGGTCGTCAGTTTACTGTACCGCATCAAGCCTTGCAGAGTGTCGTAAGAGTACGTTCCGTTGAGAAAGTGGCTACGGCGGACCTTGCGAAGTTTCGCCCTGCCCATCCAGCGAGAGCGAGTGTAGGCGAAATATCCGCGAACAGGAAGAAGTGCTGTAACCGGGCCCTTGACGTTACGTGCTTCCATCACTGCAAGGAAAGCCATGGAGACGGATCGAAAAGAAGGGGTTATAGACGACTTACGGAGGGTCAAAGACAGGCGGCGTGGGGAGGAAGAAACGTGGGGAGGAACAGAAAGTTGAAGGGAAGAAAACGCAAGAGCGGGGACGGCATCACACGAGAAGGAAGCGCACTTTCCATCATCGGCGAGTAGATCAGAATGTTGACGTAGGCGCCCACCCTTACTCCATTCGCGCCCGTACTCCCTGCCCGTCCCGTGCTCGAAGTTACCCGACTCGCAGAGCTGCTCGAGCATGTAGTTTGACGAGATTGTAACCATGCGATCTTGTAACCACACGAATTTGTAACTAGACGACTTACGAAGTTGCTCGAGCTTGTAACCCGACGAGTCGAGCAGGATGTTGGCGTACGCGCCCACCTTGTTCACCGCGCGCGACAAGTCCTTCCGCGTCACGCCTCGCGCCTGTGGCAGCGCACCGAATGCCGCCAAGAGCGCTAGGGGGAGAAGGAGAAGCGGTGCGCTGAAGGTGTGATGACGGGTGCGATGTCGCGAGCGGTGATCGCCGCGACGACGACTTGAGCAGAGTACGATCTTGGATGCCATCAGGGCAAATGCTCGGATGACAGTTAGGGGATTGGACAGTCTGGTATTTGCGTGAAAGGCGATTGTGCGGATAAAGTAAAGTTACGAGGACCTCGGAGTATAAGACGAACGGATGATATGGATTGATCGCTACTACGCTGAAGATGCTACCTCGATATCTAGGGGCACTGGAGACGATAGAAAATAAGGAGGGGGAGTGAATGATAAGCTGCAATCTCTGTGGCAACTTGACGGAAATGGAAGCTGTCTCGACGATCTAGTGGCCTCTTTTCGCCTTCATATTTACACTGAAGGGCTCTACTACATCCACTTGCACCAGCGAGAAGGTACCACGTGCGCACGTATAACCACGCCCACCGAGCATGGGATTTGGGCAAAGCGCATGTCTATCTACACCACGCCACCACCAGCTATGACACCATGGCCGTTCCACGGTGTATCATCAGTGCGTGGGGGTGGGGGAGCAAGGCGGGGAAGATAAAGGGTAGGGTAGGAGCAAGCAAGGTGTGGCCCCATATCCTGTCACACCTTGCCCCTTATCTCTCCAAACAAACCGAGTTCAGCCGATCCTCCCGAAATGAGGGCAATGTACATCAACCACTGCATTCCCGAACCGCGCAACATTTGTTGGGCTTGAGTTCGCGTCGCGTGTGGGACAGCCAGAGAGGGGCTGACCAATGGGAGATTGAATTTGGCGCCTCTCCCTCACCCACGCGGCTTGGAGGATGTCACCAGCAGCGCGACTTGTTCCGACGTGATCTCGCGTCGTTGTTTCCACCAAACCGAACGCGTTATATTCTGCTTTGCTGGAGCGAATTGGCCTTCGTCTCGACACCAATTGGTCGAAAACATCATTCGAAGTCGTTGGTCTGTTCTACTAAAGAGCAGCCCCTTTGAGGACGTTGGCAAATTATCACACCTATTTCACATGTACCCGTATCTTAAAGCCCGAGTCCCCTTTTTTTTCTTGGTGGAAATCCGTACATTATGAGGCGAGTTACAATGCAAGGAGAACCTCAGTCGTAACTGTAACCAGGGCCCCGTTTGACGGTTCCCGAGTTAGGCCTCTATGGAGGTTTTTTTAAGGTGTGTGGATCAGCCTAGATGGACTGAAAGCCTATGTTCTACCTCACCAACCCCATCCTGGTGTCATTAATGTGGCTAATGACCTTCGCCTCGTCATCTACCAAGTGGCTCCACTCTGTGGCCCTCTTCATCTGCTTCCTCTGCCCCGCCCGAAGCATGATGGCGTTATAAACTCGGACATGCGTGTGAATCGTCGACTCAACCAGCCGCATTGCCCTCTTGACCGAGAACCTCTCCCCCCTGAACACCGCATGGCATCTGTCCAACCAGATCCTTTGTAAGGTGACCGCCACCATCGAAGATTCTGGAAATCCCGACCTCGTGCCACCCTCATAAAACAGCAGGTCCTCCAGCGAGGACACCTGCCTTGTCGGATTCATCATGCGCAGTGCCCTCTTGAGTGCATGTATGACCGGCTGCAACCTCGGACACGTGAAGAGGCAATGCGTCAGCTACTCTTCCCCTCCACAATGCGGTCAGCATGCTTTATCCCCCCAAAATGGCAGCTGCTGCCCCACCTGATGGTAATAGCAGTGTACTCTCAGCAAAATCTCTCTCGCTTTATTCGGGGTCACCTTCAAATCTCTCCTCCTGATGACCCTGCCCAAGTCAAGATTCCTTCCCCAACTCTCCTCCCAAAGCAGCTATTGTTTCGGCTTCTTGCTGCTCATCATGACCGCCTGCCACAACGCGTTTAGTGGAGCAGGGAGGTGCTCCTCAAATAGCGCAGTACAACTGAGTGTACAGCTCTCAACGGCACCACTCTGTTAGGTGCTATGGCTACACCCCCCAGCGAACGCCCCACCGTTAGTAGCCCTCGGCTATCCAAGCTCACGGTTCTGCAATGCAACGCATCCCCCCTCACCCCTGTGATTTGCCACAGAGGTGAGCCATTGCCTTGATAGCTCCCAACCACAATCAGCACCGTCTCCTTTGCCACTCTCTCCACCTCCAGATTCCTCAGAATGCTATCCTTCCAACTTTGTCGGCACTGGCTCAAAGGCCTTCTCTGCTGCAATCACCTTCGCCTTCCCTCCCAGCTCCTTCGTCAGTTGTCATCGATCTTTCTTTTCCCTGCTTCCATCTCCTCGTTTAGTTATGAGGTCCCCCATCGTTAGACCCACGAGACATGCCCTCTCTTTCTGGCACCCATAACGACTCTTACCACGGTAAGGTATGTTACTGTTGAAAGCAAGCTACTCCAGCTCCACATCCCACCGCGACCTCGCGGGCTTCAGTGCCGACAGTGACGACTTCAGGAGAACCTCTACCATTGCCCTCCATCTCATGCTCCCTCCCCTCCAGTGCTTGAGAAGGGCTGGGTGCGCAAATAAGAACGCATACCCTTGCGGAAAATCTGCCGCCGTCTCTGCCAGCCAGCGACGCAACGGATCCTTCTCTTGTAACAGTACACCCACCGTGCGCAACGACATGCTGTCTACCCTCGTCTTCAGCTTGATCACCCCCAGCCCGCCCTCCCCCCTTGGCAGACACACGAGGTGGTAGATGCACAGGAGGAACTGGCGATCTATCGACGCCTGCCCACCAGATACGAAGTTGTGCGACAGCTTCCTGATCCGCTTCCTGACATTAGGTGGGGGCGGGTACACTTGTGCGTGGAACAGCACGACCGACATGGCGTAGCTATTCAGTATCATCGCCCGTGCCGACGTCGTCAAATGTTGTGCCTCCCATTTATTTAAGATTCCCCCCATCTTATCCAGTGTCCTCTCATAGGACGGACGCACATCACCACTTGGGGTGATCCACACTCCCAGCAGTCTCTCCGGCTCCCCCCCCTCAGGCCCATTTGAAGGTCTGTTCCGCCGGCGCCACTCTGCCATGGTTCCTACCTAATGGGAAAACGACTGACTTGTCCCAATTCTTCTTCAACCCCGACATGCCTGTGAACTCCTTCAGCAACTCTTCCGCCCTCTCCAATTGCTCATTCCCTTTCAACAGAAGCGTTGTGTCATCCGCATACCCGAGGTAGGCCAACCTCCCCACCCCTCTTTTGCCGATCCCCAGCTTCCAAACATACGCCTCCAGACAGATGGACTCAACTGCATACAGAAACAGGTACGGCGCCAACGGACAGCCCTGCCTGACCCCCTTCTCCATCTCTACCGATTCCCCCAGGAAACCTTTCATAGTAACTCTCGTCGTCACACCGTCGTGCAACCCCTCCACCCATCTCACCAGCCGGCGTCTTGCCAGAGAGCTGGGGATCCACCACCAGTCCCCCCCTTGTGCTCATACACCAGTCCCCGATTCTTGTCTATGTCGGAGCCCTTGACAGGATCAAGCACCCGGTGAAAGCACTACCCGTCCTTAAACACATATGAGTTCCGCTTCTTGATAACCACCTTGATCAGGACCGCATGCAACATCTTGGGAGTAACCTGCGCCGGGATGCTCTAGAAAAGCACCTCGATTGCTTGTGGGTTCCGTGAATTTTCAAGAAGAAACTCCTTGCACTTCGGGTACAGCCATGTCAAAGTGAGATGCTCCCTGTTCTTCCAAACATGATCAATCTCTTGCTGCAACCTGACAAACTCCGCGTCCGCTTCCTTGTCAAAGGGCACCTGCAGCCTGCAAAAATGCCGCGACGAGTAGAAGTTCGGTAAAAGCTTCTGAAACTTGGTCGTGGTATGGACATCTTTGGAGAGCTCCCTCCGCCACAGCATCAGCAACGAATGGACGGTCTCCTTCACTCTCGAGACTTCCTGGACATGGCTGTAAGGCACACGCAACGTTAGCGAGACCTTAGCCATAGCAGCAAGCTCCGCCAATATGCTCATGTCATACTCCTCATCAAAGTCATCACTGCAATAACCTTCCTCCTCTTCTTCTCCCTGCATCAGATCAGCAGGACGAAAGACAGGCTCCCCTCCCGCAGATGACGGGGACACTTGCGAAGACGGCGAAACCACCTCCGACTCCACATTCACCGGATCCGGCGACGGCGCGTCACCCAGGCCAGCAGCGGAGACCCCCTCCTGAGGTAACGGCACATCCACAGCCAGTACATCCTCATTCAGCAGAAGATCAGCCTCCACTGCAGCACTTGCAACGGCCCCAGGTAGCTGATCCTACACCGTATCCATCCCTTCTATGTCCTCCCCTGACAGATTCAGCGACGCCATGTGGTCAGCGGCGTCCTCAACCATGTCGTCCATCTAGGAAACCTTCGTAAGCTAGAGCGTGATGAGACCTTAGCCGGCTTGACGTTCGGTGCCATTGTGCGATGATGAGTCCCCCAGTCTTGTCAATGAATGACAAACACAATGGGTGAACTGAGCACAGACTCCACTTTATTGCTGCTTGCATCAGTGTCCTTGTGTCTTCCCTTCCTCCATACTCTTGACTGATTCGCATTGCTGAGTAGATCAGTAGACATCAGAAAGCCGTTGCCTGATTGCTTGAGCCAGATTCTTCTTGATAATAGTTGGTTAGGCCAAGATGATAGAACCAAGGAGTTGTCAGCCTGGACATGATAAGTGAATGATTTAACCAGATAACTGGTTAAAGCACACCACTGGAATCGCAAGGCATGACGAGTCCAAAACCAATGCTCAATGTTGCATCTGACACGAAATGGACCAACATTTGGCGGGATTTAGGTTCCGGCAGAATCCATGGCGGCCTCAGTTCAGTTTGATGGAGAGATACGCATCACCACATTGAGCATTGGTTTTGGACTCGTCATGCCTTGCGATTCCAGTGGTGTGCTTTAACCAGTTATCTGGTTAAATCATTCACTTATCATAATGCTCAATGTTGCATCTGACACGAAATGGACCAACATTTGGCGGGATTTAGGTTCCGGCAGAATCCATGGCGGCCTCAGTTCAGTTTGATGGAGAGATACGCATCACCACATTGCGTGTCGTGTGGTCCAAGCTTTAGAAACATGGAATCTGATGAAATTGGGGATTTTTTTACGAAACTGGGGTTACACATATCAACATATATTTTGTCTATGTTATAGGCTAAATAGAGAGTACAACCCCTTAGACAAAACTACCCTATATCACACATTCTAGTCAATCTTTCTACTCTGAGATGGTATCATGCTAGGTTAGGATCCCGCCCACCCAAGCTTCCGCCCTAGTCCTATCCTTAGCCCGAGCTGCCCGACGCTAGCCGCCCGTTCCTAGCCAACCGTCTCTAGCTGCCACTGGTAGCTGCTCGCTGCTCACCGCCGCTGGCCGCTCGTCGCCCGTAGCCGCCAGCTTCCCGCCGCCCGTCGCTCGTAGCCCATCGCCGCTGGCCGCCTGTCGCCACTGGCTGCCCATAACCGCCAGCATGCTGG